CATTTGCTCATCAGGTGTTTCTGGAGGCGCTTAAGCCGTATATCGAGCCTGGTGTGATAATTGTTGGTCTTCCCGGGGCCTCAGGACTAGAATTCCAGGTTCGAGGAATCTTGGGAGAAAAAGCGAATACGTGCACAGTGATGAATTTTGAGTCGCTGCCTTGGGCGTGTCGCTTGGGTGAATTTGGCAAGAAATGTGATGTTCTTGGGACCAAGGATTCAATGGTAGGAGCTATGCAGGTAAGCAGGCCCATTTAATAACATATATAGATATACGATGTATAAATAGGATTTCTCTTCATCGCCGCTACCAAGGCATAAGCGGCTGAAAGTGTGATTTCTCGAGTTCGAATCCCACCAATCTTGCGCGCCATACCTCTCCTTCCCCTATACCATACACCCCCTTTTTTATACTCTGCGTGCGTTCGTTAGAACATTCCAAAAGTACTACTAACAGCTAACTTTCCAATGTGGATGAAAGTCTGCTAAAAAATTCCCAAATAGTTAAAACTTGGCGAACCGAATAACAGAAGTAAGCAAATATTTCAATGGAACTCGAAGCCTATTTGAAATGCCTCTCATCCGAGAATATATATGTCTATGTAGCTTACATTGTAGGATTTTTCAAGTCGACTGTCAACAGAGCATAAAAAGCTGGCTTGATGCTCTCACTCATACATATTACTCTTAATACTGTCTAATAGTGGAGTGATAAAACACGTGACCTCACGGATCACTTGAATCCATAACAATTGCTTTTGACGGACCAAAGACTGGTCTTGGCATAGCCGCGTTCAGTTCTTTGTGCTTTGCTAGATTATCTCTCCCAGATATATCTAACAAGAAGTAAAGATACAAAAGCACAAAGCAATTGGGCTTCAAAGGTATTCCCAATAAAGCATGCTCTAAAACTGTTCTTTATTATCATTATTCGTTAGGTCGGAAGAGATGCAGCACCAAAGAAAGACCCTGTTACTCCCCTACAGAGTCTGATCGGCGACCACCCTCGTTTGAAGGTCTCCGGGCACCTTATTGGCATGACTCTTATGAACCCTAACGCGTATGCACATCCGTCAATCATGTTTGCTCAATGGGAAGGGTGGGACGGGAAACCTCTGGACGAAGCGCCCCTGTTTTACACGGGGCTGAGTGAATTAGCAGCAGAAGTCTTGTCGAGTGCCTCCGACGAAGTTTTAAAAGTTAGCAAGGCTGTTAGTGAAAAATCTGGTGTGGACACATCACAGGTAAAGAAAGGGAAGAAGAAGAAGAGGTGTTAGGGTGTTATCATAGGTACACGGGAAAAGCCGGTGTAAGAAGCTACTTGAAGAATTTCTTTACGGCTGATCGTGGAGCATCAAATTTTATGCGCATTTTCTTCCTGCATGATTTTATTTTTCAAACTCATCACTTTCGACCCCTCCATTTTGTTGTTGCTGTTATGATCGGTTTCTGAGTGATAGAAACTATGGTGTATACCCATTGTCTAGTTTTTCAACTACTTACGATCCTCCTAATCTATTAGCCATCATTTAACTAACTTCTGATCAGCCCAGTGTCTTTAATTTCCTCAACCATTGCAAAGAAAAGACGCCTTCAAAGGTAAGACAGTCGTTCTTCTGCAAAAACGGAACATGATATCGCGCGTAAAGCATATTACGTCAGTAACAAGGAGATGAAATAGTTTCTTCTTCGATGAAATATGTATGCCGGTGCATGAAATTCGTGGTTACTAAAAAGCGATTAGCGACGAGAAATCTCTTTTGATGAGTTTGTTTCTTTCTCCGCTTCAGGTAACGAGCATCTATGATCTTCTTGTCAAGTTTTATTCTCACGAAATGTCCGATACTTCGAGCCTGCGATCTTGTTTTTGCACAAACGCCGCTTACCAGGGTCTGAAGCATCCGATGAAAGAACACAACAAACATTCCTTCGTACCAGACTTCTCTCATCGTTATCTGACAGAGGATGTGCCGTATGGACTGGCGGTTATCTGGGGTATCGCAGAAATCGTACAAGTGGACACGCCTACCATAGACAAAATTCTTCTATGGGCTCAAGAGAAAATGGGAAAAGAGTACCTTGTCGGGTCTAAACTTCAAGGTAAAGATGTTCTTTCTACGCGAGCACCTCAAAGTTATGGACTGACCTCTTTGGACGCTATTTTGTAGCTTTTAGAAGGTGTCCGTAAGTCAAGCCTGGTCAATAAATTATGAAATGGAAAACTAAGACAGGTAACCTTTATCACTGGTTTTAACGTTCCGTGATAAGCAGAAAATTTTTTAGGAAAAGTCTGCCAGAGGTTGCTTTGAATTTGGAACGATTTCTTTTAAAATTATTTTTAGTTTTGTTTCACTAACGATACAGATCGCTCACGGTTTAAGTGATTTCGCCAGCGTCTCAAGTCCGTTGGCTGAACGTATAATAAGTCATTTCTCTAACGTTTTAGGTAATTTCACTACCGTCTCTTTCTGGTTTTGTTTCCTCAGAAATAGCAACATTCGAAATGTTGTACCGTAAACATACTTATAAGATCGGCCAAAATTGGCCTGGGATCGATCTGCTCAAATCGTCTCATATCCACTTTGTCGATGTATCAAATCGAATTCAATTTGTCTTGAGTGGACTTGTATCAAATTGACTTTCAGTTTCTACTGAAACTACCTAACTTCTCAACGACTTCGATCAGTTTCGGTCGATTAGAAGTCGATCAAGTTCTGCCGATGGAATCATTAAACGTTTTGTAATACATCACCTGAACGAGCGATGAGACGCTAGCGAATTGCCCTGAGGAGTTGGCGAAACGACCTAAGATGTTAGCGAACTGGCCCCGGTTGTTCGAAGGATGGAAAACGCAATACACTGGATAAATCGCTATCCGGTGGATAGCGTAGTACGTTTTGGTAACACTTATCCGCTGGATAGCGATTTATCCGTGGGATAGCGCTATCCGCTCAATGAACAACCGGAGCCTGGTCGTTAGTGAAAAGACTTGTAAGAAAAACGACCGGTTCTTAAGAGGTAGTAATATTATCATGACTCTTAGCACTCAGACAATAGGAATACTTCGTCCAAAATTAAGGAAATTAAACAACTGGCTGGCCTGCACGCCCGTTATGCAGCTCTTTCAAATGGTACTGAAACGTCATGGCCACCAAAACCTGCTCAACTATGCAAGAGTGTAGTCAATATTCCAGCAAAACAAGATGATTTTCTCTCAACACTCTCTTTAATGGCAACACCGTTGCCACCGAAGAGGAGGAAAATGCCTAATGACGAATTCTCTGAGGCACGCCGAGGAAGATGGGGCTGACGAAGATTAAAAAACCAAAAAGGAATCATCCATTAAGCTATAGACTTACAGTTGAGACACTTATGAAATCATTATTACTCCTTGTGAATTAGGATCTCTACATTAAGCAAATTAATGAACATTAAGTTCTCTTTTTTTTTATATATTTCTCTTTAATTTGCACCCTTCTTAGATGTAAGGGAGTGTTTGAAGATTGAAGGATAGGTATTTTTACTTACAACGTACAATTTCACTTTATTAATTACGTGTTCGAATAATCGTGTTTTGATATCCAAGATGGCGTAAGGATATTTAAAATGAAGATATGTTATCTTTGTAGCCATGGCATCTAACTTAATTATTGGCTGTAAATCTGTTATTGTTGTCTACTTCCATTTAGTGAAAATTCTTCGAGATCAGACATTAAAAATATTCCAGAATTTTATGCTTATTTATATATTTAACGTTACCATGGAAAAAGATTGTTGAAACTCAAATTATTTTGAACTCAGAAGTTCAAGAACTCATCTGGAAAAAACCCCTGTCTTTGTCACACTTAATGTATCCTTAAGAATATTAAACGCGCTTGAAAAGAATAGCGCTATGCAGTTATAGTTTGTTTTCTGGCAATTCTGTAGAAAGGAGTGACGTCACTTGATCTCGTAATAATACGTGTTCAGCTACCCGTTAGGCGCTGCTATCACACATAATATTAAACTAGAGTAATCGTAGTTTTCAAAAATGCATGATAGCATTACTTCCCCCGACTAGTACTGAAAGGTCATTTTGGGGTTCCTGGCCCATGGACTACAACTGTTCGAGTCGGACACAAAAAATGGCCAATACGCGACTTTGCTAATACTGCTAATACTAATGAATGCTGGGATTGGCCGAGTCAGCACTAGGTCGTTCAAGGGGCATGTTGTTTCGCGCAATTCTCTTAAAAGTTGTGTATTTGTAAACCTTTTTTCTTTCCTTGATGGGCCGACTCTTTGATCTGGGTGGGAATGTGAAAGAGACCGTAAACATCCCAAAAGGTACAAAATTTTAACGAAAACCTTTTATTTCTAATTTGTGGGTTCCATACCGATCAAGGCAGACGTTTTGAAGCTCAATTGAAACTACATATTCCACGAGTAATTAAAATTTAAGCCTAAAAGCGACGGAATTAGCAATGGAGTAACAAAAAATGTAATTCTCAAAAGCGCAGACTACTTTTTTAAAACATTTGTGAAGCTTTTTGAGACTTCGCCACAAAAAAGATCGAGGCTACGTGAAGCGGAAAGGAACAGAAGGTGTAACAACTTCCCAAAGACCTCTGTGCGAACCTATGAATTGGAAACAAAAGGTTTTCGTTAAAATTGTGTACCTTTCGGGATGTCTACGGTCATTTTCACAGTTCCACACAGATAAATTATCACTTCGATCCATCATAAAAGGGAATAAGGTTTGCAAACAGACAAATTTAAAGAAATGTCCGAAACCAGTCGCTAGACATTTTAATTTACCTAATCATTCTAGGCAACATATGGCAATCTGCGGTCTTTCCTTCACTTAGGTAGCACGGAAAGTCGTAAAAGTCTTGAACAAAAGCTCATCTTTCAAACCGGCAGTCTAAATCCCACAGGGATCAACGAACGCTTTTCATTCCACTAATTTATCATGTTTTTCTCGTTGCCATGTTCCCACCAATAACGTAGCTCCATTTTCTGCCTTTAAAAGCACACACAACCCACAATTCCTCTATTCGCTCCGACGAAGGGCTAACGCTCGAAACGTCAGCTTTTGTAATCGTTACGGTGGCCAATTTACCATTTCATCTTTGTTGATATATCCAAATTTAAAGAAACTTGCGAAGCTTTTTTAGCTCTGCATCTCATACAACAACAATACAGATCTAGGCCACGAGAAACAACAGGCCCCGAGAGCGACCTGGTACTGGCTCGGCCAAGTCCAGCATTCATTTTGACCCCAACCAAGTTGCGTATCGTAGATTTATTCAAAGTAGGCCTCTTCCGCTTGGCTTGAACACTAAAATCAAGATGGAGGTATAAAGAGAAGCGTGTGTTACACCTCGTGAATTATTCTGCCTGCATTCTGCCCTAGAGACATCGAATGATGAGAAATATTGTATTTGCCTAAAATTCTTCAGTTTACTTAAAAAATTTACTGTACTCCACCAGTTGACTGACAGTGGAATTGACATTACCTCCTGTCGAAAGATACCTGGTAAGCGAATCTTTTTTCCTGTTTAAAAATTTTTGTTGGTACCACGACTAAGTTTAACACTCTAGGGCTGTAAATCATAGTCGCCCTCACGGCGAATTCAAGGAAACAATGGTTAGAGAACCGATACAATCCTCCGATCGACCAAAGCTGTAATTGGAGAACGTGATGAATCAGTGACACGGCTTATTGGAGCCCACCGTACTCAATAGCTCTATCCCGATTTCGCGGCGAATGAAAAGGAGTTTAAGCTGCCCTAAATTTGTAAGCCCGTAACAACAAAACGAAATCGCCGAACCGACAAAAAAGAAAACTGTTACGGTATTAGCAAAACGTCCAAAACAAAACTACGTCAAGCGAGTGAAGGATACAGGATATCAACCAAAAATCATTAACCGTTTCATTCAGAGCTTGATTCCCTCCCCCATCGGAAATTAATTCTCCAATAGGGTACAACAATAATGTCCTACGAAGACTGAAAATTCGTTATCCGCACCAAGGGCAACTGAAACTATTATTACTATTTGACTCCTAATATGTATCGTCAGGGCAGAAAACCAACGACACCCACTGAGCAAAACGAATCTTTCTCTGAAATCTCTCAGTAACCTTACGTTTTTTTCTCATATATGCGTGTTCTGTCTGGTAAGATTTTTTCGAGGGGTAAGGCAGGTGGATTGGGCGGTTTCGATAGTAGAAAGGGGAGGCTTAATGTATCACGGTTCAACCAGCAAAGGTTTACTTACAGTTGTAACGAGACGAATAAAAAAGCTTCAATCAAAAATTAAACTCTGATCGTTTGATGTAGTTCTCTGGCGTAATAGTCATTTGTACAAAATTTTAACTAGAGAGTCATATGCGTTTAAGAGACATACCTAAGGTAAGCATGAAACAACTGAATCTCTTCGGTCGTATCGATCAGATCTGGTTTTGGTTTTGGTTTTGGCTTTTGATTTTTCTCGCGGCCGATTCGGTGTACCAAAATAGAATTTCGGTAAATGACCACCATGATTATGTTCAGCTGTAAAGTAGTTGATGATTTAAGCATAGAAATTTTGAAGGAAAAAATTAAATTATCCGACAAACTGTTTTGGATCTGTGCGATCATAAATACATATTGAATTGTTAAATTAAGAAAAAAACTTACGCTAAACTCTACTATAGACTTAAGTACAGACAACTACTAACCGAAGTCTTAAGTATTAAAGTCACACGAACTCCGAAACATTTGAAAGTTTGGACTGTGTGAGTTCACAACCTTTCCCGGGCGAAAAGATTAGAATTAATAGACTTTTGAACAGTGAGCTGAAGGAGCCTACAAAGCTTCAAACAACTAAGTATCCTGAGCTAGATTAGCATTTATATCGCAATGGCTCAAGCAAACGGAACAAGGTGAGAGTAGAAAAACTCCTTGGACTGAAATTTTAATGATTGTTCGAGCTAGATTCTGTGTTAAAATCATTTATCAAAAAAACAATATTACCATTTAGTACTTCCCTCACAAGCAAAAATGCAAAAGACCTTGCATGCATGCGCGCTTCCTATTGGTCCGATAGAAACAAAGGAACAATGCTTGTCAATTAAAACAAAGGAAACAGTTTTGCATTCGCATGTTGTGATGCAGAGCCTAATATTGAACGAACTTTTCATTGACTCTGCTTTCAGCCAGCCTTTGATATCACCAAAAACGTTCGGTCAGCTTTTGTGTTGCTTGTGTGTAGACGTCTCCTATTTCCTTTGCTGCAGGCGGAAAAGGGAATTGTGTTCCAGCGTCCCGCTGGCAGGGTATTCAATAAATTAGTAACAGTAGTAGTAAAACTTTCTTTCCACCCGGATTGAAGAGTACTGCATAAGCACTAATATCTCTGAGAAATAAATACAGTGAAAAATATATGTACAATTAATGAAGAAAAAAAAGAAAAACAGAACAAGAAGATGTCTATATGCTTGTAGAGTTACATATTCAATACAGTTCAAATAAAGATTAGGAATTATGGTTCTGTCCTGGTGTACCGGTTCACAAGGGAATTACCATTGTTCTTTCTTTGTTTAGGAGTTATCGGTTAGCTATTGTGTATTGTTTGGTCTTTTGTATTGGCTCTTGTGAACCGGTACACGAGGACAGAACCGGAATTATCAATCTAGCTAGTTTATAAAGTCTAGGCAGTTGTTTTTAAAATAGGTTATGCTAGTGGTTGTTCTTTAGCCATCACTTAACATATTCCATAATTTGGGCGCAAGAAATTTGAAGGAGTTTTTCCCATAAGATGTAGTGTTTACACGTGGTAACCGCAACTCGAAATAATATCACGCACCACGACATAACATCTTTCCCACGCTCTCCAACCCTTCCAGCAGCGTGTTTATTTTTACCTTGCTTGGCCACTAACCTTTATTTGTACGACAGTTTTACTTTCATCTTGAGCTGGTTCACGTACGATCGCTGGTCTAACTGGAGAAACGTTGGGAGTAACGTCAAATATGAGATTAACATTTTTCACTGCTGTTGAAGAATGAATCGAGCCACAAACGTTGGACGACACCTCTCAAAGAATTCTCTTCTCAGGAGAAACAGACTCTTCTGCAGTTGAATGATGAACCTGTACCGCCTTTTTCTCGATAGAAAGCCCTGCTTTACACGCAAGCTTTGGAACTGTAGCTTTGAATAATTTCTTCGTCAAGTTCTCGTAAGTTGTGCGGAGTCCACGCCGCTTTTGTAGTTTTCTCAGACACTGTTTACAAATATGATGTGATGTATCACTCACAGTAAATTGTAAAGAAATAATAGAAAGATTTCCTCGTACACATTAAATTTTCCTTGGTCTCGCACAATATTTCGATCTCCTTTTCGATAGTGATGTAAAACACAGCACACAATTGCACGTGTTTTTGTTTGTTTTGGCTAGAAAATTTTACTTACAATGATCACCGCATAAATTATCAGACCAATTAAACATTATCAATCTACCAATTAATATATTATATAATATATTAGTCAAACAATTGGTATCGTGTCAGTCTATCACAGCCTGTTCCCAAGATCTTGGGAACCCAGCAGAACGCTGAAACACGATTAGCGACATTTAGCGTCGGCGTTATGTAGACGTCCCTTTTCCGCGTGCAACAAAGGAATTAGGAGACGTCCGCACGTGGGCAACTTTCTAGCAGACACCACTAGCCCATCGAATGCCTGATGTCATAGAAGTGAATACTGACCAGCTTCTCTGCTTTATCACAGCAGCTAGGGAATGAACCAGATATCCTTATTCTGAATATACAACATTGTTAAGGTGTCTATGCGCTACAAATTCAAAGAACTAAATGTCCAAAATGTTGAAAAAACCAAAACGCATTTTAAAGCGTCTAAAAAAGTAGGATTTATCTCAAGGTTTATCTGAAGCTTGTCAGTTAGGCCAATCATGTGCGTGATTAGACGCACCTTAATCGTGATTAAACTCTGTAGTGCGGCGACAGCCAATGTCAGAACAGTTAGGTAGACCACGCTTCCAGATTGAGGATCCTCGTCCAAGGAGAAGGTGGGCACACAAATTCATAGACGTTTCCATTAAAAAATAAAACAAGGATTGATTTTTCTAATTTTCTGCTCATCAGTATTTGGCAGCCTTGTGCGTTGTTCGCCATGACAGATTTTCCTATCTCCTTTTGTAGCTTGCTGAATCGCGATTCACAATAGCCCTATCTTAAATCATGATTAATAGGACTTAATCACGATTGCAATCTCAGTGGTGCGACCGCAGCTAGGGTTACCTAACAAAAGATGTGTGATGTCTTATTTCATCGATCCATATCAAGTCTATCTCCTGCCAGTCAAAACCCCGATCAAAACCTAATCACAGCCGTTCGAGAACAGTACGTACATTTCCAAAACAAATAAAAAAGCCGGAAATTCATCACGCAAAACAAAATGGTTCGCGAATCACGTTAAATTCAGCTCTTAATTTACGGGTCACGTTTGAATAAAAAAATTCGCTCACGTGGAAATGAAAAGATCTTATTATCTTCAATCACGATTCACGAAAGAAAAAAAAAAGTCAAATTACGATTCACGAAAAAAATGGCCCACTCACGCTTCACGCAAAAAGTATAAGTGACCCTCAAGAGAAAACTTGACTTAGACGATTAGCAGTCTGTTCAAGTCCACTCCAGCTGGAGAAGAGAAGATGCCGTTAGAAATATAATCCTTCGAAAAGTCCATGAAGCATGGCAAGAAATCCCAGTGAAGATGTCAATTTACTTTTTAAAGAATTTCGAAATTTGTAACGCTTTGATAGCACAGAAGACGACGACATTTACTTTAGAGAGGTGCAAGAACTTGAAGACGACTCAAGAGATTGTGAATTCGAGACAGACGGTAAAGACGAGAGTGGCGCAGATGGCGAGTAAACTGTTTATCAGTTGAAAGCTCTTTACTTAACGGCTCCTTGAGGAGCCACCAAATCTTTTAAAGCTCAGTAACTAATTCCTGTTTATAATTTTGATTCTTATTTGAGGTTTCTTGGTGAGGTGATTGCCTTTGTTTCTAGCTCGGCACTTCCCATTGAGAACACAAAATCGCTCACACTCTCGGCCGTAAGCCGAACCCATCAACTCTGACTTTTTCTGACACATTCAAACCCACGTTTCTGGAAAAATCGTTTGGCCTATGGGTAAATAATTGCGGTAATTTTGTAACATACATCGTCGTGCGTCTGGTATAAGCTATCGATGGTTTACAGCAATTAATGTATGCCGGATTGTTGTTTCCGTTCTATGGTAATGATTTCATGGCATAGGTAAAATATGGACTGGACTGGACCATTTTTTGGGCCATTTTATAAGAGGGGAGGCACACCTTTAGTACTCAGGGAGGGGTGGGTGCAGTCGACAACGCATAACCTATGCCAGACTGGTAACTCAACAGTGGAGGATCGTAAACGCGATATTTTCAATAAGAATTAAAGTCCAGTGTTTACGTGGCAGTTTCGCTTTCGCATGGCTAAAAAATTAAAGAAATGCCGCAGCCCAGCGCAAAATGTTGATATAGGAGAAGTCAGTCGAAAAACCGATTAAAATAATTATTACGATCGAGTAAAAGCTCCATTAACCACTATTGTTTAAAATTACAACCACCTACCACCCCTTCCTGAATAATAACACTCTTCCCCACCCCTCCCTCAGTACTTGTCTACTGCACCCACCCCTCCCTGAGTACTAAAGGTGTGCCTTCCCCCTTATAAAATAGTCCAAAAAATTGTCCAAAAAATCGTCCAAAAAATAGTCTGGTCCAGTACAGTCCATATTTTACCCTATGCCTGTTTTTATTTCTCAGCCACAGTGCAAAATGGCTGCCGCGACATATCAAGGATCTGTTCCTACAAGAAGGGAAGAGACAGGAAGGCAGCTTCAAACTAGAGTCCTTCACAGCAATCAAGGTAATAGAGTGTAATGTGATTCGCCGGCAGAGGGGTGATGGCTTTTCCGGCCCACGGTTAATTTCTTTCGTTTCGGTTCCAAGACAAATTTTAGGGTTACTTTTTTTTTTGTAACGACTAAAGGTTAAAATTTACCAAAATTACGCCTAACAGCTAATGATTAACTCCATTTAGACCCTCACGTAACTAATGGCTGAAACTTACTCTAGCTACTGATTCATTTTAATTTCACTTTTAAGATCTTTACCTTTAATGAGATTTTAAAAACACCGTTAAACTGGTAATAAATGAATCAAAATAATAAAAACACTCGGAACTGAACACGTTTTCGCTATAATGGCATATCTGAACTGCGGTCAGTGGTCAGTCAGTGGTTCGAATCCCGTACAGGCCTGAATTTGTCTGATTTTCACTATTGCTTAAATTTTGCTTTACTGCGAGGATCGTATACATATCCGTTTCATAAACGCAGTTCAGATATATGTATTTCATATATTAGTTGTATTTGATTTATCATCTTACGGGTTTATGTCGAATTAATTAAATGGCTTGCTTCTAGTTGGCTTGTTAGCTCAATTGATAGAGCGCTACAGTAGTATCGCAGAGGTCAGGGGTTCGAATCCCGTACAGGCCTGAATTTTTTCAGGTCTGATTTTCACTATTGCTTAATTAGTGCTTTCCTGCGAGGATCGTGCATACATGTTTGCTAAACATGTATGCACGATCCCGGGATCCCGCTGTACACCCGGGGAACGGGTGTACAGCGGTAACCCACCTGAGAATTCAAAATGGCGGAGTAAACGATGTTTACAAACACTGATTTTATCGCTAGGTTGCCGCTTGCAGCGAAATTAGACGACTCGCTTTTATTTAACTATTGCCCAGGCGAAGCCACGAAGCCTAGTATTCCGAGGCGAGAATTCGAAGTCAACTTTTCTGCAATGGCTGCCACCATTTGTTCCGACGTCTCTCTTTGGAGGAAAACCTCATTACCTTGCAGTACAATTACTCTATGAATATAAGAATAAATGCCGCTAGCTTGTAGTTCTGAGTTGATTGTTCAGATGTTGTGCATGAATTGTAAGATACCTCTCCGAAGATTTGATTTCTATACAACCTGCAATGTATGCCAGACAAAAACTAAATTTATGAGGCACTCAACATTTCGAAGTAAAATCCTTCCATAAAACCTACACTTACCGTCCATGCTTTTTTCTCCGACGATCGCGTTCGAAGAGCACGTCCTCAAAACTAGTTGCCAGGCCCTTTTAGTTCCCTTTACTCCGCCATTTT